GAATTTATAGCATTGGACAAAAGTGGAGAAGAGGCAGAGTGGCTTCGCCATTTCTTAGAAGATATTCCAAAATGGTCAAAGCCAGTGCCAGCCATTTGTATACATTGTGATAGTCAATCGGCTATAGGCAGGGCACAAAGTAATATGTATAATGGTAAGTCTAGACATATTCGTCGAAGACATAATACCATTAGACAACTACTCTCTCAACTGGTACTATATCTATTGACTATGTGAAGTCAAAAGATAATCTTGCGGATCCGCTAACCAAAGGGTTAAATGGAGAGTTGGTTGCTAAATCTTTGAGAGAAATGGGACTTAAGCCTCTAGAAATGAGTTGATACAATGGAAACCCTACCTTGTTGACTGGAGATCCCAAGATCTTGGTTCAAAGGGACAACCTAATTGTAAAAGACTCTTGTGATCACTGTGGGATTTTATCCATTGTTTATTCCTTAAACAGTGATACCCGTGGTGAGTAGAATAAGCATTTTGGCTTTTAATGATTCTTGTATGGGAAGGTAGTGCGGGCTACTATTAATTGAGAATCACCTATGTGAGAGAGAAGTGGGGCCGCTTTGAAGAGAATTTTGTGATGCGCAATTCTTAGACCCTCTCACAGAACCAGGCTATGTCCAGGGCCACTAATGGACATAATAATGAGAACTGGAATATGTTAGGGAGAATCCTGTGTGAAGTATATTTATCGTTTACACAAAAAGTAGAACAGTTCAAGGACATCGCGTCTACTGGTCGGCTAGTAAAGTTGATGTGCTTTCACAAGGGAAGGTTCAAAGGGTAACACCTACCTATCCTATGCAGGTTTCAACTGTTGGACCATAACATTATTATTCAATTTCATTCATGTGGGGGATTGTTGGAAAATTAATGAATGAATTTGTAACATAATGGATAAAGCATTAATTTGAAACAGTGTGTCTTCAATTTGAAAAAACTTGTAACTTGGTTACATTAAACTTAGCTTTATAAAGTGTGTAATAAATTGTTTAATTAATGAAATGTCTCATCTTATGCCTATATAAGGCTTGTTTTTGTTTTGAAGAAAAGACACACGAAACAAAATACAACTTTTCAAAGTCTTGTTCCCTCATTTTTTTTTTCTTTAAGTGTTTTGGTCTAGGCATAATTCCAGTTCGCCGAATTTGTTTCGGTTTTTCCGTTGTATCCTGGGAAACAGACGCTCATACGGGGAGAATCTGTTTTAAGGACACTGTGTTATCACAGGCCTCGGTATTATATAATATAGCCATCTTATTTTTATTATCCCGTTAAAGTTCCCTACAGAAACAAACAGAAGAAAGGCAAAAGAAAAACAGGCAAATATGTGCAATTAAATAAAATTCAAAACGGTAGAAAAGCTTTGTAGTATTGATTATTTTTACTTACCTTAGTTTTCAACTGGCAAAAGTCTGGATGAAAAAGCGTCAAACAGTGAAGCGAGCAAGAAAGAAATATATATCCTGAAACAAGTAAAGCAAGTAAGTAATGAAATAAATTGCAACGAAAAGTGTTTGAGTTAGTAAAGAATGAAGGCTATACGAAAGAGTAAATAAGGAAATCATATACTCTGCTAAAATATAGGCGGCAAGTCATATATATGTTTGAGGTAGGGATGAAAACGGAAACGGTAATTTCCGATTACCGGGAATCGTTTCCGAAATTTTTTCGAATATGGAGGCTAAACGGAAACGGAAATGGTAACCGAAAAAACGGAAATGGAAACGGTAAAAAAATTCGAAAATGAAAACGAAAACGGTTTAGCCCTTTTCCGATCGTTTTCGAAAATTACCGTATTTAAACGGTAATTTACCGTCGGTAATACCGGCTCAACCCATACTAGGCTCACTTTTAATTATAAAGCTCAATCCAAATCCCAAATGGGCCAAATCCCAAATGGGCCAAATGCCCAAATCCCCTTCAGCCCAACCCTTCTACAAATCCTGAAATCCCCTTCATCCCCTTCACTCTCGAGTCTCGTCTCTGTCGTCTCTCCCATCTGCTCGTCGTCTGCTCGTCGCCACTCCCGTCACTTGCTCGTTGTCGTCGCGCCTCACGCCCATCACCGTCGCAACCGCATCTATAGTGCCCAAATCCCCTCCATCCCGTTCGGTCTTCACTCTCGAGTCTCGTCTGGGAGTCTGTCATCTCTTCCATCGGCCGACGGCCATCGCAATTCGCCGCGCCTGCTCGTCGTCACTCCCGTCACTTGCTCGTCGCCGTCGCGCCCCACTCCCATCAACGTCGCAACCGCACCACCCGCTACAGGCTCCAGCTGCCGCCGCCTACCCCACTTTGTATGAGTGTTAAAATATTTTTCCATTACAAATTGTAGGATGAATTCTCAGAAATGGGACGTGATGACGATGTGGCAATTGATAATGATGATTTGCCTGAGATTCAGTTGTAGGCAGACGACAATTTGCTGTGAAGGACAAGTTTATATATTATGTTTAACTCCCATCAATGTTTTAGTGATTTGTGTTTTGAATTCTGGGTTTCGTTTGTTGTGATTTTTTTTGTGGATTTGGTGGTTCCATGGTTGATTTCTCACCTAATTGTTCCCATTTCATGTTTCAAATTTCAATTGCTACTATTATTCCATGAGAATTTGGTGGACAAGTCACAATTCAATTGCTAGTTATTGGAATTTGTATGGACTTTGTTATAGCAAATGGTGTGGATTTTAATTTGGATTTTGCTACTATTATGCCATGAGAATATTTCAATTAATGTTTTAATGCTATATTTTATAATGTGGTGTATTATCGTTTTTTAAATACCGTTTTAATATATTTCGATCGTTATCGGTGTATTTTCGATCGGATAGTTTCGTTTTCGATATTACCGGAATACCGATGTCGTTTTCATTTCCGACATTATCGTATCATTTTCGTTTTCGAGAAAAAAATATGAAAGTGGAAATGGTTGAGCCCTATACCGATCGTTTCCGATCGTTTTCATCCCTAGTTTGAGGACATGTATAAGTTCACAATTACCAAATACATAAATGAAAAATAGAGGCGTTTGTATAATTCAAGAGATTGATAATTTCTAAAAAGGTGAAATTTTTTATATACAATAAACCAGTAGAAAGAACCTAAGTATTTATACAATAATTTTATTAAAGTAATGACTTAGCAACATTATTGTATTACCTGATGATATTAAGCAGAAATCAAACTTTTCACGACGGTCGTTGCACAAACTTCAACCAACAGTGCCTGCATTAATAATTATAAATATGAAAACAGGTGTCCACACTTTATACAATGAATATAATTTTGTTAACAAATATATAATGTATCTAAGAAGGTAAATAATCATAGAAAATTTTGTGTCAGCAGTTTATATACTATTAGTGAAATGAATATAATTTTGTTAACAAATATAATCTATTTAAGAGGAAAATAGTTAAAGAAAATTTTATTATAAAAGAGTTATTCTGTAAGCAGCATATAACTGTTATGGCACAAAACAAGTACAACAGTAAGTGCAAACATGATAAGTAAAAAGGCTACAGGTCAGTTTATACTAATCAGGTGCACTAAGATCAGATAATGAAAAACCAAAAGCAGAGCACTTTTAATGAAAAGAACATTTTCATGCCCTTGAGAAACATCATAAGACTACTAATGAAATATATTAAAATATACCAAATAGCACTAAGCAATCAGATATTTTTCCAGAACATGTAAATAGAATATAAAATACTACTATATGACTGTTCAAATATACAAACACTACAAGAAAATGATGAAAAATTCCAACGGAAATCTATTTTAAGAGTCCTGAAAACACATTCCAACGGAATATTTCCATTGGAACCATTCCAACGGAAGCTATACCATTGGAATATCTGTAGAATTTTCTATTGGAATATATTATCATAGGATTTTTCGTTGGAATATTACAATTATTTTGTAGTGAACTGAACGGCCAGATATTAACCACATGGGAGATTTTTTACAAAAAAGCTGCAGTATTGTAATGATTACCAACATCAGTCAAAAAAATACTCAACTTGCAATACTGTAATGATTATCAACATCAGTTAAAGAAATACTCAACTTGCAGAATGTAGTATTAAAGTTCTGATATGATAAGTTTGATAAAATAAAATTTGAAAAAAACAATAATGTAATCAATTCTCCTTTGTTGGGCCATTCTGTGCCCAATTGTAATTTGAAAACATTGGCCCATTAAACAATAAAACACAAAAATACCAATAAACTGAATTTGGAGTTAAAGAAAATTTCCCTGTAATTTCCTTGAAATTATGTTGAAAAAGATATCAGGTGTACGTACTCGTCTAATTGCGAAGCATCAGCTGCAAAACGAATCCATGAACCATCCATACCTTCATGCTAAGAGTCCTGAAAACGACGAACATGACAGAAAACCTAAACAGACTCAAATCAAATCGGATATAAATTAAGCCAAAGAAATAAAAAAAATTACCTTCGAACTTGATGAGTACGAACTCATTCCTATTACACCAGCCATTACCGTTCATCAGTAAAGCACAATCCTTATTGAATCTTAGGCCCACTAAAATTGTAATAAAAAAATCGTAAACTAATAATGGTGGTAAAGAAATTTGACTATTTATAAAGCCCTAAATTACCAAAGCTGCGACTCCATGACCAGCAAGTGCCCTCCCAATAACTCCAGAGGAGATGAGGCCGCACCAAGAGCTGAAAAAGTATTGTATATTCAATTATACAAACAAAAGAGAGTCAAAATTGAATACCTAAAATCAAGACTTCTTAAACTCCAATACTATTACCATGCCATCAACCAGAGCCAAAATATGAAAAGCAAAAAGAATCATGTCGATTGACGTAGGGTTCTAAGTTGCAAACACTACAAATTTGACTTCACCATAGCATAAAGGAGCATAAATTTTCACAAATGAAAGAAATTGAAATCTCAAATGGTTGAAATTCAACTGCAGAAAGAAGATATGTGATGGATTGGACCTCGGGCTGGTAGGACGCCACGGCACCGTGTAGGAGAGAGCGACCATCTTCGTAGAAATACAGACGTGAAAATCTCTTTCATGTAAAAACAAAAAAGGGAAAAAAGATGACTTCCTTTATGGGCAACTCCAAGTTTCTCTAGAACTGTCACCTGAAATGCAAACCAAGCTTTATGTTGAACACGGCACGAGAAAAACAACAAATAACATATAAACAAAGATGAGACGAATGTACCAAATCTTACCATGTTTCTGGTAAAAAAACGTCTGAGTGCCGTCAAACGGAAACTGCTGATCAAGACGTGACTTGTATCTATAGGCAGATACCAAGGGACAGGTGAGTTCTTTGCCAGATCCTTTTTCCCAAACAACCTTAGATGAGTAAAAATCAGATTATTTTTACTTTATAAATTATCCACAAAACCCGCTTCGAATAAATAATTGAAAATTTTTCTACTCACTTCGAAACCATCCTTTTTAAGAGCGTCGAGACATTGGTGAGTCAGTCTAATATCAGGACGACCATTACCAAGTTCGATTTCATCCTGCAGCAAAGGGAACTTTTTTAACATATCAAGCCAGATTATTGTGTGAAAACACAAATTCAGAAGTATGTTTTAAATCGGTCACGCACCACTCGTATTGGTCATGCACCGCTCGTATGCAGCAAACATTGGCCCGGTTTAAGTACCCTGTATATTTCCTTGTAGCACTCGACCTGTAGCAACAGAAAAGATAGAGAAACAAATTACAGCTGATGAAAATAGCCCCAAATTGAGCAAAATAAAATTTCCCAGTACCATAGCCTAGAAACAATGAGGCAGAAATCCCAAACGCGCAATATCAAAGCAATTACGATGAAGCCATGCCTTGAGAAAATTGTGAAAAGTAAAGTGTTTCAAAAACTAAAAGCATAAACAAGTAAGATTGATACCTTGAGGGAGATACTGAGGATACTGAGGGCGGTCTCCTTCTCGAGCCGGGATTCTTTTCTGGCGAGCTGGGTTTTGGAGGAGGAAAGGTCGCCATTGGAATCGGTGTGTGAGCCGGATTCGGAGAGGTGAGGAGAATATCGGATAGGAGGAGGTCTTCGAGGGACTTCCCAGCGGCAAAGAGCGAGGGGGACTGTAGGCTGGGTGGGCGGAGCTGGAGGCGTGACATGAGAAACGGCAGAAATAAGAGAAAATCAATCAAAAAGACGAAGAGGAAGGCGAAAATTTATCGATTTCAATGGAAATCGAACACATGCGAAGAGAGAAGAAGAAAATACCTGTGAGCTCCGCGTGAAGATCCGAAAAGAGGAGGAAAACACTATCAACTGAAGCTAAACGATGTACCCCTATGGTCAATCAGACGATGTCGTTTCTATCTAATCTAGACGACGTTTGCAAACATAAAGTCAGCGTTTTTACTTGGGTGAGACACGTGTCAAACAAAGAAGGCATGCACTTCCTTTATATATATATAACTAGTTCGGTTACGGCTGTGCACAGCACAGCCGCACCCAATTTTGATTTTAAGTAATGTTGTAAGTAATAAACCGTCGAACTAAAATTGCGTTAGAAAAATCAGTTGGTAATTTACGAAAAAGATAATTCATACACGATTAGTGAATATACATTATGTATGTATGTCCTTTCCGAACTGCATAATGATTGAGCTTAAAGTAAGCATTGGTGCACAATTTTTATGTTCTACCATATTGATATATTGATTTATTGTTCAGAAGAAATAGATGCAACATTTTATGAATAAGCTTTAATATAAATAATCAACAAACATGCTACTTCTCGACATGTACTAAAAATACTACTCAGTGTAATTTAACAGATTAGCATTGATATAGCATCGATATAGGGCGCTAATAAAAAACCATTAAGACGGAAGCCAATCCAAAACCTCAAAGCATTGGCATAAGTCAAAAGTACGACATCAAGCAGTTATGAAATAATAAATGTGGGCTTTTGTAGATACAATGTTTGTGCATTCCAAAGCACACCCTTCCCTTCCCTTCCCTTCTGTGTTTTAGTTATAATGAAAAACAAAGCAATGCAACAACTAAAACCTTAAAATCACTCTTTTTTATTTTTATTTTTTGAAGTTCCTGGAACAAATTAGTAGGTGATAAAAGCATTATTACCTTTTTTTCCCATGGTCACCCTCTCTGCGCGTTTCTCAGTACACAGCATGAGCGTAAACAACAGCCTCAACCAAGGTTAAGCACCATAAGCAACAACACCATATCTAGCAAATAACAGATACTCGAACAAAAGTTATCATCTTCCTACCTAGATGGCACAAGTTAATTTACTCTTTTATCCAATCTTATTGTTAAGATAGTGAGATTTTTCTAAATAGTAATTGCCTAAACCAATATAATGACAGGTAATTTGACCGAATTCAAAAATTATCTATTTTCAACATTTGTTTTTAAATAAGAATTGTTATGCAAAAGAGAGGATACCTTCCTTTTTTGAGCAAATCATAGCATGTCATGCCAGGCATACAATAGTTTGTCATAACAAGTTTTAGTTTCACCTACTGTATATAAAATAAAACTTACGAGGAAATGTATGAAAAATAAAAATAAAAAACAAAGTGACAATTAAAATTTAGAGCTTAAGCAACAATAAAAAAAATTCAACAAAGGTACAGAGCGAAGCACTTGAACTTACTCAGATTGAGCATCTCCCACCAACATCAAGTTACCATCTTTATGTTTATAAGAGGACACATATTCAGATCGCTCATGGCCTACTATTTATGAGCATTGACCTGAATTAATTAATAACAGCTGCAAGTAAAAAAATAGTGTTCATTAAGAGTTTTTCTCCGAGTGATGGTGCTTCCAGCTGTTTCTATATAACTATATAAATGATCATTACCTTCAAAGACAATGATATAATATTTTATCTTACTAAGCATGTGGTAAGTGTATGCCGCATATCAACATAACAATGTGCTCTATCACGAAAAGCCATTTGTAGGCTAACAAGGAAAGATGCAAGCAAGCCATTCGTCTATTCCAAATTCTCGATGGGAGAGGTCTTGGAACAGTCAAGAGATTGAGCTAGTTACATACCAAAAAGAGAGGTAGAGTTTTGCACTATCAGTTTCGTATCTTGAGCATTGTCCTTATTCATGTGAGACTGGAAGCATAACTCAAGCTTAAAGTAATTGTGACAGTAAAAAACAACTATAGTGATTTTTTGTGGGGGGAAAATAGAAGAAAAGGTTAATTAAAGATTCAAACACCAAAAATCCCTTACCAGACATAAAAATAAAATCAAAACCAGAATAGGACAATATATTACCCGCATTTTGTGACCTTAACAGGGCAAACAAGCATATTCCACCTAACCGTCTCGTACAGAGTTGATTAATGTTTATTGCATTTATTAATCTCGATAAACAAAATCACCAGAATGAAACAAAAGTCTAGCATAATGCTTATTTCCACACGATACGAGTTGAATTCGGGAAATGAAAGACAATTGGAAAAAACATGTAAAATCAAACAAGGCATATAGTAGCAATAAAAAAAAAACTGGATTTCTATACCTTGTCTACATGATGAAAGCCTACAGCATGACCATGTGAGTTCATAATCATATTTCAACCTGCAACATCAAAAACCCAATTGCAACATTGAATACAAACTTCAACTGAACTCACAAGATAACAACTCAACAATCAAACCCAAAAATAGAAATCGCATTCAAACTTTCAAATGGATTAAATAAATTGGTGGCTGCAAGAAAATACCATGGACAATTGTGGAACCAACCTAGAAAAAATAATATGTGAAACAACTGGTTCCAATAGAATACTTGAAATGAGACAGATATTGTTAAATCTAGAACCTGCATAAAATCGACCAAGATGAAACCTTACCTTATAAATGATACTCTATATTAAACTAACCCAACAAAAATAGATTATCATCACCATATCTACAGAAAACATATATTCTCATCTCAAATCAGTTAACAAATAGCCTAGGGACAACCCAATGGCCGCAGAGACAAATGAAGCATCAAGCACAAACCTGGCAAATTGTCCGAATTTGATGGGTAAACGGCAGCAAAAGTAGGATGAAGATGTATGTTGAGGTGCTTATTACAACTTTCAGCAGCTTCGACGGGCTAATTTCTCTATAGGGAGCATCCCACACAAGCTGAAAACACACCAGAGCAAGAAAAGCAAGTGCCCAGCGCAGCCTCATGCTGATTTCACTAAAAACGAAGAAACAAAGGAATAATTATGCAGTAGAAAAATAAAGGCGATGTGAAACCTGAAATTAATTTTCTTATTTGTTTTCATCGATTATGGAGTAACTAATCGAACCCCTTACCCTCGCTCGACTGCAAGTAGGGTTCATGTTATGTTAGAAAGATGCTGTGGGATTTGTTTGATCGAGAGATTCATAGGTGGCAGATGGACATGCCAGTCGTCGGAGAATGCCAGTGAGTATCCTAGCAGCATAACATACAAATCTATTAAGTTCTTCTCCCTATATATATATTTGCCTGCAGAATAATGACATGGGAATTAATTATAACTCAGCAAGTGCAAGATTCTATCGCAATCTAACAATCGTTCAACCTTATATGGGGAATAAGGAACACTAATTGATAACTTAAGAAATTAACTAACCCAAACAAACGGGGACCAGAAATCAAACGAGACATTATCAAATTTAACCTATGAACAAAAAACATAGAAGAATATCAGCCAGTCGTACCAGAACAATTCCCGTGTGTACATAACAAAATTCAGTTTATATCGATCAATATCAAATCACAGATTAGGGACATGCAATCAATCTATCAAGTTAGATTCTTTAGGCAAAATTTCTTTGAATTTACTTGCCTCCAATCCTTCAATCCATCGAAAGTAAGATAAGTGTGAGTAAAAACCTGTTCGTGGATATTATCAGCGATGCGATAGTAATTGCGGAGAGAGATCGAGTTGTTGACGTTGTTCTTTTGAGCCATGGCACAGAAAAAAAACTTCAACAATTAAACCTGGGATGTCCAAAAAACAATGTCAACTGAAACACGTGAGCACGAAAAAATTGTATATACTGAAAATTTTCTTTTGACAAACATAATTAACCTGAAAGGAATACTCATTTCAGGCGACGATAAGAATAATGGCTGCTACTGAATGCACCAGGTATCTACGACTTCCTAATTCATCCTCGAACAACCAAACAACAAAGTGCGTCTAATGGTCCCCCTGGTTTCGCTGGTAGCTATCGAGAGGACACCCTTACCTCGTCGATCTTCTAGACACTACACAAGTCTGTAAAAACCCATAAAAAATCCTACTCGGCTACTCCACATGATAATAAACAGTCAAACAAAAAA